AGTAGTTGCTACAGTCTAAGTAATTAAAAATACTAAAATATAACAATAATAATTACTATACTTAAAATCCATTCTCAGTTTGTTAATTTAACTAAAAGACAAAAGACAACATCCATTAAGAAAATTGCTATGTTTTTTTTTGTCTTTTTTAAAAGATAGACTTGACTTAAGCAAACTGCTAAGAAGATTATTTTTCACAAGAGTAATGATGGCGCAAGAAGACTTAGACATTTGCATGATGAGAAGACTTAAAAGTATAAAGCAAAGAAAAGAATAAATACCAATAAAAAAAATCTCATACTATCATTTTCTTTATGGGTCCAAAATTAGAATATCAAATTTTTTTATAAAGTATAATTTTGTGATAGGTGATTCTAAGTACACCATTTTTTTTCTCTACATACACTTTTTTTTTAATTTTTTAAGTAAAATCACTTATTTATCCATCTCATTTTAATTTTAAAGCTTCTAGATATACATTTTTTATAAGTTATATAACTTACCGAATTTTCATATTCGATATGTTAAAAAAGTTACAATTAGGTTTGAAAAAGAAAATAGTTAAGAGAAAATATCTTACGTATAAAAAGTATGAGAATCTAATACCATTTATAAAATTTAAATCATGTATTAATCATACGTGAAGAAATTGTTTTATATATATATATATATATAAGTTATCTTGTATATATAAAATTTGTGAAATTAGAAGATTGTCTTTTTTTTTTTTTTTTTTGGCTTGTGAGGTTGTCAAGATTTGAATTTTAAACTACTAAAACTAAGAGTTTAGCATTTTACTAACATACTGCATGGTTATTGGTTCATTGAATTTCTAAATCATAGGATCTTTTAAAAATATATTAACAATAAAACAAAAACAAAAAAAAAAAAAAGAGCACACCATGGATCTAATAGTATATTAGGAACAACAGCATGAGAAACAAGTTGCTTAATCAACAAATTGATTGGCAAAAAAAAATCAACAAAATAAAAACCTGTGTTTTATTTTTGTTGAAAGTTTTGAAAAAAAAAATCTAAAGAACATATTCATTCTCACTTCTCAAACTTATCTATTTTGGAAATTAGGATTTTATAATGGTGGAATAAGAAAGAAAATAATAGATACTATAGGAATGTATTGGTCTAAGTCTTAGTCTTTGCTTTATACTTAGTCTTGGCATTAAGCATGCAAATGTTAGTCTTTTTGCCCCCATCTTTACTTCACAAAAATAATAATTTTAGCAGTTGCTTCAGTCTAAGTCATTAGAAAGACTAAAGTATAATAATAATAATAATAATAATAATAATAATAATAATAATATAAATATACTTAAGATCCATTCTCAATATGCCAATTTAACTAGAAAAGAAAAGAAAACCTCCATCGAGAAAATTGTTATTTTTTTTGTCTTTTTACAAAAATAGACTTAACTTAAGCAAATTGTTAAAAATTGTTTTTTTTTTTTCATAGAGTAATGATGGGACAAGAAGACTTAGACATTTGCAAGATGGGAAGACTTAAAAATGTGAAACAAATAAAAGACTAAATACCAATAAAAAAACTCATACTATTATTTTCTTTCTGAGTCCAAAATTAAAATATCAATTTTTTTTATAAAGTATAATTTTGTGATGGGTGATTCTAAATGCACCATCATTTTTTCTCTAGATCCATTTTTTTTTTTACTTTTTAAGTGAAATTACTTATTTATCCATCTTGTTTTAATTTTATAACTTACTAGATTTTAATATCCAATAAGTTAAAAAAAAAGTTACATTTAGGTTCTAAAAAAAAATAGTTAAGAAAAAATATCTTATAGAAAATTTTAAGCTTCTAGATATGCAAATCCGGAAACTTTTAAAAGCTTTTGGATATACAAATCTAGAGGCTTTTAAGAGCTTCTAGATTTACAACTATGAAAACTCTTAAAAGTTTTGAATTTTGTAAATCCAAAAGCTTAAAAGTAGAAGAAGTGTGAAGAGAAAAGAGAAAGAGTAATTAAATAATTTCATTTAAAATAATTTTGAAATAAAAAGGGTGTGGAGAGACAAAATGGGAATATATTTAGAATTTTCTTTTGTGATTCACATATAGCATATAATATTTATAAATTAACAACATATCAAACATATATATTTTTTGAAAATAGAATGTGATGAAAGTTTGAAAAATAATCATATTTTATATTTATGTCCATTAATCACTTAATCCCATTAATATGTAGAGTATTTTTTAAAAACTTTTATTTGATTTATATATATATTATTCATAATTAATTTTAAAAATTATAAAAACTATTTATAATATTTACGATATGATATGACACTCGATATTAGATTCTCACATTACAATACATATTTTACTTTAACAATTATGCTGATTTTTTTTAAAACTTTTACTTCGTGATTTATAACTATCCAAAGTTCGACATATATGTAACTCTTTTTAAGTTTATTATTTATTTATAATTTGATTTATAATAAAGTTTTATCATCATTTACTATAGAGAACTTATTAATGATTCTAATGGTAATGTCTAAATATAGTATTCCCACAGTCTCTTGTTTTTTTTTTTTTTGTTTTAGATATCTCAAAATTATATCATCTTTCTTTATTGGAATAACTCAAACTCTTACTTTTTATATTTTAAAATTATTTTTTATGATTTTTTTTTTACTTTTGACATTAAAAATCATGAAACTTTAATCTTATAAAAAATTGAATTTTAATCTTAAAAATATTAAAATCAAAATTTTTTTCTTAAACTCTGTAAAAAATTAATAACACAAAAAAAAAAAAGCTCACATGGCATAAATACTAATGCATATGCCTGCAGCAAACAATGATATTTAAGACTCGTTCAATTCAGCATTATATCTAACTTAGTTTTTACAATTAGAACAATTCATTTTATTTAAATGCTCAAGTTATATGAGGTAGTAAAAATTTAATTTAATTTGGAAGTGGTAAGGTCGTCGATCATTGGAAATGTCAAAATAAATGTGCGGATTGTCAAGTGGTAGTTATTTAGTTTTTTTTTTTTGTTAATTTTCTTTACATAGAAAATATTTTGTTTATTAGTTTAAACATTGTGTCCATACAAATGAAAATAAACGGCAAGCAAACAAGACTTTAAGGAAGAAAATTTTCAATAATCCATTTCTGAAAGATGTGCGTGATTATATATCAAGATAAGCTTTCAAGTAATAAACAACATATATTATATATTAAAAATTATAAAAAAAATAAAACATGTGATAATATATTAGCACCATTTATAAAACTTTAAAACTCTACTAATAATATATATAAATATCTATAAATTATGTGAAATTTATGAAGTTGGAGGATTGTTATATATTCCGATAAGTTAAAAAATAAAAAGTTCATATAATTAAAAAATACAATTGCCATTAAATCTAATAGTATATTACAAACAAAAGCAAGAGAAACAAGTTGCCTAATCAACAATTGAAAAAATCATGTTTTATTTTCGTTGAAAATTTTGAAAAAAAAATTTGAAGAACACAAATTTTTTCTCTGACGTTTCAATTGATTCAAGGACTTTGAAAAAAAAAAAAAGATAATTTTCAAATCCTAAAGTTTTTCTTTCATCCTATTATTTTCAAATAATCAAAAATTTAGATCCTATTATTTTTGAATAATTAAAAATTTAAGTATCTGATTGAATACTACCATCAACATCTTGACTCTTTCATTGTGCTTTCTCAATTCTTATAGATAAGATTCCATCAAGCAATTAATTGCTAATTATTTAAGATGATTAATTATAATATAGATTTCATTTGGTTTGTATTTTTTTCCTTTACTATTTGTTTTTTGTTTTCAATTCATTTATTAAAAAAAATAAAAACCCTAAACTGAAAAATATAATTTAGATTTCGTTTGGTTTGTATTTTTTTTCTTTTACTATTTTTTAAAATTTCAATTCATTTATTGAAAAATATAAAAACCAAAGGCATCCATTAATCTCTGACTTGACATCAATAGACCAGGGAACTGAATACATGGAAACTCAGTTTCAGCACTTGCACTCTGTTGGCTGGATGTTTCCTCCTTGCTTTCATCTTTTGCCCTCGTTTCGTTCATTCATACTTTTGCTCTAGATTTTCCAGGTTAGGTAGCAATGTTCTTAATTACAACATATGTGCTGCCATATTACAAGATGTTAGGTGGGATGCAACAAATTAAAAATGCAACCCAAACGATCATACCCCTTTTTCTTTTAATGCTCTATATAGATAAAAATAATTGTATTATTGCAGGAAGTTGATAAGGATACCAAAAGGAGGTTCAAGCTTTTCCATAAGAAAGAAGAAATAACTTAGAATTTTTCAAAAAAAGAATTTCGTATAATTTCATAATCAGTGGTGAAATCAAATTTTTTTAAAAAATATTCCATTTAATATTATAAAAATTAATATAAAAATTAAAATAATATATTATTCATATTACATGATTTTAATTTTATTGAAAATTGTCTACTCATAAAAAAAAAAAGCAGGTCAGCATTTTTTTTAAAACTTTGATTTTTTTTTCTTGCAAATTTGTCATTGTGTTGCCAAAAACATTGGAGGTTCAATCGTTTTAGAGTTTACTGTGTTTATTATATAATTGTATTTATTAATTTCATGGATGAAAAAAATTAAAAAATTAGAGATGTTGAAAAATTCTCTTTCGAAATTTCTTCTCCTTCCATGTTCGGAGGTGTTCATGAACAACTCACCCATAGTCTTGCATCTTCCTTTGTCCTTAATAATAGAATTGATTTGATTGATAAATCTTTGTAAAATTACTCTTTCAGACAAGTTGATAGATGAGCAAAGCTTAGTGAAAATTTTCATTCTTTTGAGAAAATTAATTTTTTATTTAATTGTTATTTGTACGAATGCATAATATGAAATAAAAAGTGGAAGAAAAGAAAAGATATAGTGATAAAGATTAATTTACAAAAGCAAAACTATAAGCCTTATCACCATTGACCCATTATTCATTCCTTAAAATTCAAAATGGACAAGCAATAAATATGTCTGTCTTCCACCTATTTTGATTTAACTCTTATAGAAATAGCTCAAACTCATGATTTGTACAAACACGTGGTTGGAAAAACGCATTTGAACTTATCTCTTGAGATCAAGGGAGATATGTAGCTACAATAACAGTACCTAATATGAAGTACTTGTCTATAAATAACGTGTAAGCAAATCTCAAGCTCCATAATTTTCCCTTCATTTTTTCTTTATAGAGAGCCAACAAAACATGAAGAATCTTCATATCCTAATTTCAATCATTTTTCCTACCTTGTTTCTCCTCTCATTCTCTATATCTCTTGTGTTATCTTTTTCCCCTCCTGATCTCCAAAACCAATGCCTTCATCACCAGAAATCTGCTCTGCTAAAATTGCACCATGATCTTTACTATGCCCCAAATTTTACTTTCTCTTCCAAAGTTGAGCTTTGGGATCCCAACATTGACTGTTGCTCTTGGAAAGGAATTACATGTGATGCTTTGGGTCATGTGATTGAACTTGATCTCAGTTACAAAAACCTTTCAGGCAGCTTTCACTCCATTTTCAATCTCCATCATCTTCAACGCCTTAATCCTGCTGCAAACAATTTTAACACCACTCTGTTTCAATATGAGTTTGATAGACTCCCAAATTTAACTCATCTCAATCTTTCAAACTCATGTTTCCATGGCCAAATTCCAGTGGGGATTTCATACTTAACAAGGTTAGTCTCTCTTGATCTATCTCATCAAGATTCTTGCTATCTGCACAATTACAAAATTCTTGATCCAAATTTCTGGTACTATGATTTTCCTTTCAACCTTCAACCTTTAAAACTAGAAAACCCAAACTTCAAATCATTAATCCAAAATTTGAGACCTCTTACAGAGCTCTACTTGGATGGTGTGAACATTTCAACTCAAAGTAGTAAATGGTGTGAGATCACATCCACAATACTTCCTAACTTGCATGTGTTAAGTCTGTCGAGTTGTGGGTTGACAGGTCCATTTTGTTCTTCACTCTCAAGACTTCCTTTTCTTTCCAAACTTGTCCTTGATTGGAACACGATCTCTTATTTACCTCCCAATTTGTTGGAAATTTCCTCTCGTTTGGTTTCTCTCAGTTTAATGAATTGCAATTTAGGTGGGCATTTTCCAACAGAAATTCTCAAGTTGCCAAAAATAGAAAGCATTGACATTTCAAATAATTACGGTCTTGGAGGTCAGTTGCCAGAATTTCCATCAAACAATGCTTTACGGATCTTAACGATTTCTCAAACAAATTTCAGTGGCAAACTACCAGAATCAATTGGCAATCTCAAATTCTTGACAAATTTAGATCTCTATGGTTGCAATTTCTTTGGACAAATTCCATCATCAATTGCAAATCTTACTAATCTTGTGGAACTGGATCTGTCCAGTAACAATTTCAGTGGTTTTATCCCCGCATTTCATAGATCCGGAGTTCCAAATCTTGCACATCTTTATTTGTCGGGGAACCACCTCTCTGGATCAATGCATTCTTCTTTATTTACTCTCCCATCATTGCAGGACTTGATTGTTTGGGGAAATCAATTGGTCGGTGAAATTGATGAGTTTGTCAACGCATCTTCTTCCTTGATTGAAATATTGTCTTTAGGCGACAATAGCTTTAGTTCTGTGAAGCTTGACATGTTCTCCCAACTCAAGAACTTAAGGGTTCTTTACCTTTCCAATACGAGCTTATCAATTGAAAGCGACATCACAAGCCTCGCTTTTCCCCAATTAGAGGAGCTATGCCTAAGTTCATGCAACTTTACTGAATTTCCAGAATTCATCAAAACACAAGACAAGTTGGCTTTTCTAGATCTCTCTAACAACCAAATCCATGGTTTTGTGCCTAATTGGTTGTGGAAGACCACTCTTTCATGGTTAAACATTTCTTTTAATGCGATTGACTTTCCAAAAGAGATTCCTTTTGGTGACGCAAATTCCTCTTTTCCAATGTTGAGTAGTTTAGAATATCTTGACCTTTCAAATAACAAAATAAGTGGTGCAGTACCAAACTGGGTGTGGAAGAAAAGTTTGAGATATCTGGATCTTTCTAACAATTCTCTCACATCTTTGGACCAATTTTCGCTCAACCAATCTCTAACTTCTTCACAAGGCTCTTTGTCAAGACCTATTTGCAATTTGAGTCGACTTGAGACCTTTAATGCATCCTTTAACAAATTAAGCCGGCCAATCCCAAGTTGCTTGGGCAATATCAGTTCTCTCGGCTCTTTGGATCTACAAAAAAATAATTTCAGCGGCAGCATACCAGATTTTGCAAAAGCAACCCAATTATATTGGCTACGACTCAATGACAATAAATTGGAAGGGAAGTTGCCAAGGTCATTAGCCAATTGCACAATCCTCCAAGTTTTAAACCTTGAAAACAATACTCTGTACGACACATTCCCTTTGTGGTTGGGAAAATTGCCTGCTTTGAAGGTCCTTCTATTGCAAGCAAATAGGTTTTATGGTCCAATTAAACATGTGAAAAATTATTTTCAAGATTTGGATGTACTAGACATTGCTTTCAATAATTTTTCTGGTCAATTACCAACTGCATTCTTTCAAGCCCCTCGACTAAGGTCACTCAAAATTGGTGGGAATAAACTGGAAGGAAAGTTGCCGAGGTCATTAGCCAATTGCACAAAGCTTGAAGTTTTGGACGTTGGAAAAAATATGATACAAGACACATTTCCGTTTTGGTTGGTAAAATTGCCATCTTTGAAGGTTCTTGTACTAAGAGCAAATAGATTTTATGGTCCAATTAAAATTTCTGAGGATGAAAATGTTTTCCTAGAGTTACACATACTGGATCTTGCTTCCAATAACTTTTCAGGTGAGTTACCTGTTGAATTTTTTCAATCTTTGAAGGCAATGAGGATGATGATTGTTGGCAACCAAGCTAAGCCAGATTATATTGGAGATAATTACTACCAGGACTCTGTGACAATTGTGAATAAAGGGTTTGAACTTTTTTACGAGAAAATCTTAACCATCTTTGCTTGTCTTGACCTTTCCAATAATAGTTTCCATGGGAGAATACCGGAAGAAATACAAAAGCTCAAGTCACTCAAAGTGCTAAACTTGTCCCACAACAGCTTCCTCGGCCCAATTCCTTTAGCACTTGGAAACTTAACTGAGCTTGAGTCGTTGGACCTCTCCCAGAACAAACTCTCCGGAAAGATTCCTCTTCAGCTTACAAGCCTAACTTTTCTTGCAGTATTGAATCTCTCTTACAACCGACTTGAGGGAAGCATACCACAAAGCTACCAATTTGGTACATTTTCAAACGATTCTTACAAAGGGAATCCAAGATTATGTGGGCTGCCTCTGACAAGGAAATGCAATGAAAATGGTCCTGGAATGCCACCCCCTAAGGAAGATGGAGATTCATGGGTAGATGGTTTGTCTGATTGGAAAATTGTGTTGATGGGTTATGGATGTGGATTGGTCATTGGATTATGTATTGGATATACAGTGCTGAATGAGTTGGGGAACAAATGGTTGGACAGGTTTACACAGAGTCGGAATAAAAAATGGAGAAGATCTTCTAGGTGACTCTATCAAAATTCAAGTTTCAATGTCATTTGGTAAGTATTCTAGAATACTTAATAACTCAAAAGTTTTTCTGTTGACTCTGTGAACTGTAGCTTAAACAAATAAAATTATTTAAATGCTCTCTTATATTATCTTTTATCTGCACTAAATAATAATTTACTAAAGTGATTGTGTTTAAAATTTAATTCAAGAACGTTTCAACTTTTGATGCCTCTTTTCCTTTTTGAAACTTGGCAATGCTTTTCAAACTAAGAACAAAAATTGCCTGCAAACTAGGATGTCTTTTGAATTTCCTAACCTCATTTTACAAATGAAAATTAGCTTCCAAGTAATTAATTTGTATAAGACTTGGGGGTCACTGGTACTTTGAGTTAGATTGGTCTGTCAACCATCTTAAGAGTAAAGTAAAGCTCTGGCATCTATTGTAATTAATTAGATTGGCTTGGGATGCTCATATATATTTTATTTGGCAGGAGCACAATCAAAGGGTTTGGCAGGCCATCCAAAGATATAGAAGCTATTGTTTCAACTATCAGAAGTTCCTTTTAGCTTAGTTCAATAACAAGATTGCAGTCTCGAGTTCCACTCTTCCTCTTCAACAACAGAAATTGTGTCTGAATGTTTTTGGCTTGGTGTTACTGTACTTGTGTATCAGTTCATTCTCTTCTGCTCGCCTAAGATGATTGGCGGTATGTCTGGTTGTATTGTGCTTGTCTTCTGTTCTGTCTATGGGGTGGTGTTTTACTGCTGAGTTATTGGGTTCCCCTGTTGTTCACCCTATTGTGTAACTCTGTTTTTATTAATAATTTCTGGCTTAGCAAAAGAAAAATGTGTCTGAATTGGGGACTGGTTCCTCTATGTTGCTTAGTTTAATTAGTTTACTTTATTAGGTTGCTCTTTGACGTTTGTAAGGTCTTGATAGCCTACTGTTTATTTGTAGCAGGTCTACTGCTTTTTTTGGATTAATAAAAATCATTTATCCAAAAAATTTTCTTAAGGAAAATCTTATTATCTTTTAAGCTCTTCAGTATTATTATATCTAAGTGGTCATGTCAGCAATCACATAATAGGTTTTACACATGAAAGCCCAGTTTGCCACATTATTACCCAAGAGGTATAAAAAGTAAAATCAGACGAGTTAGGTGATTCACTACTCAACCCTCTTTACTCTCTTTAACTACTTCCTGCTCTTTTACATTTTCTTGCTTCTGGTGTATCTTACTATCTTAACTTGTGCGTCGGAGCATGCTTCAAAATAACATGTTCCGCACCCCTGGCTTTCTATTCTGTGACAGGTCACACATACTCTCCTCTCAACCTCCAGTAGGACTTTCGACTACCAGACCAGGAATTACATTAACAACCAAGAATTACATTAACGAAATCAATGATTCAACTCAACTATTTGCATTGCAAGAATCTGATACAAGCCATGGCATGTACAAAAATGACCATGCCTACTACTTTAACTGCCAAAACTAGAAGTTACATCTGCTAACACAGAAAAATCTTTACAGACCAAGCTCAAGCTAAGATGCTTTATTCCTGTATTAGCTACTACATCACTACAGAGAAAGAAAAAAAAAGAACAAAGCTTCCAGTTCCAGGTATAAAGCTCGACAATTCCAAAGGATACTATTTCATTGCCCCTAATAACTATAGATTTGACTATGGCGAGAGAGATTTAAATATTTCCTTTATTATTTTCTTAACTTTAATCCCGTATCATCCTTTGTTTTTCTACTTCTGGACTCCCACACAGACAAAAACAAATGGCTTTTTGTAAGCTCTATTGCTATTGCTATACGATTGATATCCATATAGAATAGACCTTCACTAAACAAAAACATGTGGGCAATACAAAGAAACTTTTAACAACTTGAAAGTTATGTGAATGCCATTCTTAAATTATTATGTGGACTTGATTAATTGATTTAATTTTATCTTAGAAAAGTAGTGGTAAAATCTTTGTTATGAAAAAGAGCATCCAGTAATTTTCTTATGATTTTTTCCCCTTACACTCATCACTTATTCCTGGTCAAATTGAGTTTATGCATATAAAAACTTGATTGTTTCTAACAAAATGGAGTAACTTCATCGTTTGAATTGTCAGGCCAATGATTTCAGAAGATACTAGGAAAAGAAAGCATGGGTTGCCAGAATACAGTTCAGAAAAGGATATGACTTCCTGACTAAAAGCTTGTTCTGCTTATCTGTTTCTTACAAAACTGATGTTTCGGCTACATTTTTTGTCCAGTCAGGAGCAAAAATGACAGCTGTATTTGAAAGTGAAAACCATCCAAGGTGGGACATGGAAAATTTGTATTGGGTAACAGAGGAGATCACTAGTTTGAACAGAAATTTGTATCAGGCACCAAAGCAAGCCTTTCGACCAGCAGATCAGGATAATCAATGACTCAACACAACTATTTGCAGTGCAAGAAGATGATAACAGCCATGGCATGTACAACAATGACTAGGCCTACCACTTTAATTGCCAAAACAAGAAGTTAATTGCATCTACTAACACAGAATAATTGTCGACACAGACAAGATCAAGCTAAGATGCTACATCACCATAAAAACACAAAAAAGGAATAGAAGAAAGCTTCTGGTTCCAGGTCTCAAGCTCGACAATTCCAAACTAACTTTGATAGTGTTTAATTTTCCCTAACAACTATAGAGGGTAAAAAGGGAAACTAAAGGTCATACTAAGAATTTGATGAGTATACATCAGCTGTTAAGAGCCAAAGATTACAATTTCTTGAATTTAAGTTTAGGTTTGGTAGCTGATTTCATAATTTTTTTGCCTTAAATGCAGGAACTGTTTTTTCAAGGAAGAAAACTGTTCATTAAAGCTTTCTATGCTTTGGACTTGGACAGCACAAAAAATCACAGCTTCTATTAGCTGTCCCTACCCAACTGAAACTATCAGCAATCCTACAGCCTTAAACTCTGTGAAGTAACATCCTTCCTAGATCATAACCCTACCAGTATGTGTAATCTAGACATGGATTTTGATATGATCAAGATGAATTCTCGGCCATTGTGAAGGTTGTGAAGTTGGATGCTGATTCGTGGAAAGTTGATACTGCATTGCACTGCTATCTCGAGGTAGAAATGTTACGTCATGGGCAAAAGGCAGCAGTGGCAGCATGACACAGAAACAATACTTACCTAAATACTTGGTGTAAAAACACCATTCCAGCAGCAACAATGATTTTAAAGAGCTCATCACTGCATAATCCCAAATTCCCCCAATATCTAGCTGGGAAATACATTTTGTTCAATAAGGTATGCAGACAAGTAAATCTTTCCACTACAATGGCAAAACAAAGAAATAAAAATATTAATGGCAGCAGGAGTTGAAAAAAAGCATCAATGGACTTATCGTTACCCTCTTCAGCCATCTTTCTACGTATCTCATGAGCAGTATTGAAAATGCCAAGGGTGGGTTGGTTGCACATAAAGCACTTGTTGTTCTTTGTCTGATGCTGAAAAACCAAAAGATGCAGTTGGTTAGTTTACATTCGAATGAGAATAAAAATGTAAATTATACTGACATGAGGCACCAAAAGTTGATGATGTAAAGTTAAAATATGTCCTATTTCTATAGCTGAAAAAAGTTGGACCACATAAAATATTCTTTGTATGTAAGTAACCAAAAAAGTTTTGCATCTAAGTGATGCATTAACAACAAACATAACAAAAACTAATAGATGTTAACCTAGCACAAAAAAAGACACTAAAAAAAAATTAATCCACGTGAAAAGGCATTGAGGGCACCTTTAAAGCACAATGCTGGCAGAAGTAGTACTTGCACTTCCACAAAAGGTTGCCAGCAACTAAAACATGCAGAGGGCAACGAATCATCATCGTCATCATCACTCTGGTCTACCCCTGCCTCATCATCATCATCATCGCCACCCAAAGCCGGATTTCTCTTCCTTGCTTTCTCTGCTTCTTCCCAGTCCTTCTCTAACTGCCATCAAGACTTGTAATCTCCACAATCATGCATAAACTTACATGAATCTCCGTAACCACAGTAACCAGTTTCTTTGTAGTCTTTACCGATGTCAGGCTGATAATCAAATCTTGCTGAAACCCTGATGTGGGCAAAAGCCCTAAGAGGTCCATGTAAGCCACCTGCTTTCTCACTGGCAACTGTTTGCTCTCTTCGAAACCCAGCCTTATAATCCACATAGCCATGCATTCCTTTATACAACTTCTCTCCCCCAGAGCTTGTGTTTTTCCCCTTCAAAGCCTCCTCTGTTCGTTTAAAAACTTCCTCGCGTATCGCGCGAGCATCTTTTGTAAACTCAGTCTCAGTTTCTAAGGTTGCCATAGCTCTGCTATCATTTTGAACTTGAATTTCCTTCGAAGACTCAAATTGAAAAATCGGTTTGTCAGATTCTGTATTTGATTCAGTGGGAGTAGCACTCCTGGAGGATCCAGTTGAAAAGACTAACTTATAGTCAGGCTTCAAAGCGTTTTTCTGATTGTGAAACAAAGATGTGCCATTTCTGGAGTCTTCATCTTCATCTTCATATTCATTTATTGTCCTTTTCCTTATGGTTTTTTGCCCTTTGTTGGCTTCCTAAAGAAATTGCAGACTGAAAAGTCAAAGAGTTAGCTATATAAGTAAATATACATATACACCTTTAAAAAGAATTAAAAAAAAGGAACAAATTTTACCTTGCTCAGATTGTTGAGGTTCTGTTTCAGATTGCTGAGGTTCTTTTCCTGGCTACTGGGGCTCGCTTGAATCAGTCATCTTAACAGAAACAAGAGAAAAGGTTTATAGATTCCTTGCCTCAAGCAATATGAACTTCAATTCTCATTCACGACTGTTGCTCCAATCACTTGAAAGAAGGTTTTAAACTAAGTGAGTGAAAATCCTTATTACTATTAATTAAGGTAATGAAACAAACGTGATCAACACACTAACTGGTGTCATAATTAAATTTCCATAGATAAGATCAAGCATTCTCTCATGAAAAGGCTAAATGCTCAATTTTTTTACCCAAATCATAAATTTCTATTGATGTAAGAAAAGGAAGGAATTAAATTTTTTATCCAAATAACAAAATATTTACAGTACTCACCTGAACAAGAAGTCTAAAACGCCCAATACATTTAACTTTTACCCACGATTGACTAATCCGAATTGAAATTACCCAACAAGAAGAGATCGTCCTTCGTCAATTAATTCCTTTCGATCATCGGATTTGGGATTTTTTGAAATCAGAATTGGAATTGGATAGGAATCGACTGAAGGATTGAAGAATTGGATATGAATCGACTGAAGGATTAAAGAACGAAGGAGTAAAGAAGGAACCCAAAACGCCAAATTCTTTTATCGGGCTTTCCGATTCTTTTTCGGCCTTCTTGTTTTGAAAATCAGTCAATTTTTTGTCCAAATTGCACAGGTAGACAACAGCTTGCCTACGTGCATGCCACCTCACCTGAAAATTACACGTCCTCTACATAATATTCTGGCTCAGCAATTAAAAGCACGTGTAGTACACGCGAATAATTCCTTCCCATGTTGGCAATGCCCATCGGAATAATCTTTTGCACCAATTGGACTTTTGTGTTGGTTGTCCTTTCAAACTAGCTTTGACGAAAACGCAAAAAAAATTGCTTCTTCTAAACTGCTAAATTTCTTCAATTAAAGAATTTTCGTTTCTGATGACTTTTTTTTTATTCAAATTCGATGAAAAATCTAATCTTTTTATCTGAATAAGAATAAAAATATGTATTTAAAATTTAAGAATAAAAACTAAAATAATATAATTTTAAAATTTTATCAAACATAATAATGAAAATTTTTTATTTTTTTTAAGTTATAAATATGGGCTGTTCAACCCATTAAATCTCCACAAAAATAAAAATGGATATAAATTTAAAATATATATAAAATATAGATATAATGTAAAAAAATTAAAAATGAGAATAAAAAATGTTATACCCGTCCCATTGACATCTTTTATTTCAGCATTTGCTGTAAGTTTCAACCTTCTGTGCTGCAATGTGTTTAAGGGTAAACAAAGATCAAGAAGAGAAAGTTAATCAAATTGACCGGCTCTCAACTCCCTGATGATATTATAATCAATATACTGCTGAAGATACCAGTCAAATCTCTCTTAAACATTCAAATGTGCAATGCAAACCATGGCGGTCTTTGATCTCTGACGCTCAATTTCCCAAACTGCACCTCAAGTGAGCGCTCCATGGAGCAATGTGCAATCCAATAACAATGACTCATCATTCCATTCTTGTTGGTAAAGTTATCTATCAAACTCACCTGGTAGCCACAAGACAAATATTTTCTGTCAAACAGACCTATCAACAAAGACCCTCAAATTCTTCATATTATGATTGTTGAAAGATTTAAGATGATAATTCTCGGTTTAATTAAAGCTAAACATGTACGAAACTTCCAAACTTTTACAATATTAACCTGTTGATATGGTGCATAAGATCTTTCTGTGTAGAATTTAAAATATGCTTACTACATCAACAAGACACCTTAAGAAACAAACTAGCCGTCCACTCCTGCCTTCAATATTTAAGTGAGCTTAAATGGGTACAATTGCTATCACAGATTCAGAGAAAATATTTTACCAATATCCAAAGGTTAGAGTCCTAGTCATTTTCATTAAATTTTAGGTGAACAAATTCCTCTTAACTGTCTCTGGAGACACAACACTGGCTGGCTGACAATTTCTTTCTTTATTTTTTTTTTCTATATAAAAAGAGCTGAATCAGCATGCATATCCATTTGCACTGGTTACTCCTAAATTGTTTCATACAGCCCATATGTGGGGTAAAAATAAGTCATATTAAGAACAAAAACTATGTTAGTCTTATGTGTTAGGCTAAACCTTGATCAATTATTAGATAAGTGAAATC